GGGACTCCAGGATCATGACCTGAGCCGAAGGCAGTCGCTTAACCAACTGAGCCACCCAGGCGCCCCTATTTTTAAATTTTTGAGAAACTTCCATGTTTTCCAGAGTGGCTCACCAGTTTGTATGGCCACCAACAGTGCAATAGGGTTCCTTTTCTCCACAACTTCACCAACACCTGTTGTTTCTTGGGTTGTTGATTTTAGCCATTCTAACAAGTGTGAGGTGATATCTCATTCTATATTCCCTGTGTTAAAAGCTCCTTGCTTAGTGGTGATTCTCAGCTGCCAGAAATTATAATCACAGAACTTCAGAGCCAGAAGGGCAGTTTCATCAGTATCACGTGGGAACTTGTTACAACTATAAATTGGAAAAGACCAACTGGATCAGAAACTCTGGGGGTGGGAACTAGCAATTTTGTGTTTTAATAAGCCCTCCAAGGTGATTCCAGTCCACACTGAAATTTAAGAACTGACCTGAGTTAAACCCTTTGAGTTTTTCAGATAGAGAAGCTAAGGTCCAAAGAGGTTGTCACAAGTCAATTTAAGAAAGCACCAGAATCATCAGGCAGTGATTCGTAGGATGACCATCATGCCTCAGAGATCTGTTTACTGGGCTAACTGCTAAACAGTATTTGAAAGAATGCTAGGTGGAAATAAGTGTAATGGGGGAAGAGTCTGTTTACCACTTAACTCACCTGGTGGGCTTGTTACAGTTCAACAGTAGCCTTTTAATTCACTGAAGTTTAGTCTGAAAGAAAAGTTTCATCTAATTTGTTTTATTCACTTGATTATTCATATGTATCTTATTCCCTGAAGCAAGTTTATATATCATTTAAGTAACTACCCCGTTCTGTCACTACCCTCTAAGGAATCTCTAGTGTAACCCTACAGCTTTCATTTTTAACAAGCTCCTTACACTTAAGTTTGAGAACCACTAATACAGATGTTTGAAGTTAAGAAAAAAAACCAGATGGACTAGACTAACATTTTCAATAATTTTTTTTTTTAAGATTTTATTTATTTTTTTGACAGAGAGACAGCGAGAGAGGGAACACAAGCAGGGGCAGAGGGAGAGGGAGAAGCAGGCTTCCCGCTGATGCAGGGCTTGATCCCAGGACTCTGGGATCACGACCCGAGCCGAAGGCAGAAGCTTAACGACTGAGCCACCCAGGTGCCCCATTTTCAATATTCTTTAATTTGGGTTCCACATTGAAAATTCCAAATAATTTGCTAATGTGTTTATCATACAGCCAATATAACAACACCAGAGATTGCTCCAGAAGTTTGTAATGGCATAACATTCTAATTTTTTTTTTAAAGATTTTATTTATTTGACAGAGAGAGACACAGCGAGAGACCGAACACAAGCAGGGGCAGTGGGAGAGGGAGAAGCAGGTTTCCCGCTGAGCAGGGAGCCGGATGCGGGGCTCCATCCCAGGACTCTGGGGTCATGACCTGAGCCCAAGGCAGACGCTTAACGACTGAGCCACCCAGGCGCCCCTTCAAATGATTTTTTGAAAAAGTATAATACAGGTTTTTCATTATCTGGGGGAAGATCACTGTAGGAGGGCCAAGACATCACAAAACCAAGAACAAGAGTTTAAATCATGCATTCTGTTCTGAACTACAAATGTAGTCAACCCTGACTTTGCATGGCATAAATTAAGGTCACGGACAACTCAGCAGTTGTCTGAAACTTTAAGATTACATTGTGTGGAGTAGTCAAGATTTAGGAAAACAGATACAGTATCTGGGAACAAGAACAGAATAACTGCAAAATCAAAATGGTCTACCTTGAATTTTTGTAGCATTTTAACATTTTTCAAAGTACTTTCATATAAACTTTTATTTTATCCATGTAACAACGCTGTGAGGAGGGAAATTAGCATCAGGAAAACCGTTTTCGAAACTTTAAATACTGGATCTAGGAAGAAAAAAGGCGAGGAAGCTGACAGAACCAAAGAAATGACAGAAAAGGATCTCATTTGAGCAAGCACAAAAAGCTGAGGGCCAGAGGACGGAGAACTGAGCGCAGAGCTAAGACTAACCTGGCGGGCGGGGGGGGGGGGGGCGGGCAACGGCTTTAGCGGGCAAATAAGTGCAAAAAAGCCCGGGTGGAGGAAATTTGGGATTAGGAAACTTGAATTTACTTATCTGTACCAAAGAGAATGGATGAGGTCAAAGAAAAGAAAAATGGAAAGCAAGGAGGCACTCAAAGCTGCACGGAAGTTTCGTGGGCTCCTACTCTACAGTCCAATGACCACGGGGTTCGGCCTCAGGTTGAGAATAACGCAGAGGGGAGTCGCACAGGACTCAGGCGGGAAGACAGCAGAGCCGGGCAACGCATTCACTCGGACCAACAAAGGCCGCCGGGGACACTTCCCGAGCCACGCAACTTGCGGGGGCCGAAGGGTTAACGGCGCGCACGACTCCCGCGCGCTTCCCGGCCCCCCCCCGCCGTCGCTAGGAAACGCCGAGAGTGGGGGAGGGGCGGGCGGCGCAGCCGAGGGTGGGAATCTTTTTCGGGCGTCCGGGGGCGGAGGGAGGGGAGCGCGCGTGCGCGCGCCCGGCCGTCCGTCGCCGCGGTGACCGTCCTCGGAGTCCATCGGCTCGCGCCCCGCCCCCGTTCTGCTGCCCCCTCCCCTGTGGCGCGCAGAGGGTGTTTCTCGCTCCTCCCGAGTTGCCGCCGCCGCCGCCGCCGTCGCCGCTGCTCCTCCTCTCCTAGTCTTGGGTTTCCCAGGCGCTGCTGCCGCCGCTACCTCTGCGGTCTGTATGAGGAGGAGGAGGATGTGAAGATGGCGGAGCTGCAGATGCTGCTGGAGGAGGAAATCCCGGGGGGCCGCCGGGCCCTCTTCGACAGTTACACGAATCTGGAACGGGTGGCAGATTACTGCGAGAACAACTACATCCAGGTGCGAAGCATGTGCCGGCCTGGGCGCTTTGGGCCTCTGGCTGGTGGACGCCGCATGGGGGATCCCCGGGCCGGGGGCCGCGCGCCTGGGGGCGTAGGGCTCGCGGGGCCGAGGCCGCGGCGGGGACCCAGCCCAGCTAAGCCTCCGAGAGCGAGGGGTTGGGGGAGTAGGGTGGGAGCTTTGGGGCTGGTGAATTGGTGAGAAACCTGCGGCTGGAGGAAATTGTAGCTTTAAAGCATTTTTTAAAAAGCCATGAATCAGTCCTCGGTGCGGTGTGTGTGTGTGTGTGTGTGTGTGTTGTGTTGTGTTGTGTCCCCGCCTCTTCGCGTCTCCCCTCGGCCGCCCCCGCACTCGGTACCCGTCAGTGTTCTGGATGGCGGAGGAGGCGGAGAGTGGCTTTTTCTATTTGACAGAATCCTCCCCCATATGGCAGGGGTGTGGGGGGATTGATGGATCACCCCCATCCCCCAAGCTCTGGAGGATTTTTAAGGGGCTATGTTGCTGCAAAGTAAAGTGCCTTAGTTTTATATTCATATAAATGCCTCAAGAGACTGGTAATTTTGCTTATTTTTTAGTTTCTAACCGGGGATACAGTAGAAGAGCGGTTGTCTCTTTTTGGAAGTTATTGCCATTTTCCTCCCTGTGGAGAATGAGAAACTGCATGATAATGAGCACCCCCCCCATTCCCGTTAGAATAGTTAATTTTCCTGTGGGAAAAAGAATTGTATTTTTCGGCAGGGATTAGGAAATGATCCTCATGGTTTAATTTTTCCCGAGATGGTTGGTTTGGCACGGAGACTCATAGTGGTAACGTTGTGTGTATGTATATGGAGGTGGGGTATATTGGGTGAGATGAGATCCAGCTGCGCCTGCATGAAGCAAAAGATTCTGTGGATTAAAAAAAAAATCCTTAAAAATTATTTGAAAGGATAGGTTAAAACACTGCAAATTCAGCATCTTTTGTTTTCTCTATGGCTTATTCTGAATCACAGGTTCTACCTCCATTTTTTTCCCTTCCCATTTAAATTCTTGGGATAAAGGTGGAAATGGAAGAAGTATGTTAAATTGTTCTTTCACTATGGTCTTTTTCTTTTTCTTTCTTTTTTTTTTCCTCCCTTACTCCCACTTCCATCTCTCCAGGCATCCTTCATAGTATCAGCTATGTTGGGAAGCATTCTCCAGTCTTATATAAACTAAAAAAAAAAAAAAAGGTGTTAGAATTTATAGGCTCATAAATTTTGTAAGGATTTCATAGTTGATTAAGGATGTTATTGTGAGATTTTACTTGATTGGATATATACTGAACTCTGTATTATCTTGTAGGGACTATTTGTATTGGGGAAGGAACCAGACCTAATCCAAGGCTTTTCCCTCCAAAGAGGCAGTTGAAAGTATGGCTAATAGGAACAGAAAAAAAATGTGCCTTGGGTCAAAGATTCATACAAAAAATACAGTGGTCCATATTTGGAGGGTGCTTTGCTAATACTGAGTGGAATAGGAAAGAGTCAAATGTTTAGTTGCTCAATTTTCAACTGATCCTTATTCAAAAGTCTATAGCCTGGCACAGTGTAAAGGGTTGATGATACACACCTAATGTCTACAGAATTTCATAGTGTAGTTAATAGAGGCTGATCTGTGAACAAATGAATAATGTAGTGTGTCAGTTTATACTCTGTAAGGGACTGAAGGTGGGAAGAAGGACTGGAGGAAGCTTCGCTATTCTCAGGGAATTCACAGTCTGTAGGAGAGGCAAATCTAAAGGACTGAGTGGTAATTCCATTGCCTCCTGCAACATATTATGGGATTATAGGTCAGAAGAGACATTGAGAGTGGAAAAGTGACTTCGTAGTGGTTATTACCAGGAGTAAAAAATGAGAAACAGATTTGTCTCTCTTTAGAAAATAATTTTTATTGTGATTTGAAGGTATAGTTTTTCTTAGATTACAATTGATACATAAAGGTAAAGTATATGGATTAATAAAGCCGAGAGGTTAAAGGGGTTAGGGATTGTCCTCTTTTTAAATATTTTATACATTTCTTCTAGTTGAGAGGAGAAGAATATTACTGTCACCATTATCTGTTTGTTTTAGCAATAGGATTAAAAATTTAGTGTGGTGGCATTTTAAAATTCATAGTATAGATATTTAAAGCGATGGATTTAAAAATATTTTTTCAATTTAGCATCTAAAATAGATTTTACACTTTAGATTTTACCGCCTCGGTTATCATCTGTTTCATGATCCAGTGGGTATATTATTTGTGTTTTTCTCTTCCCAGATGACAGCTCTTTGCATGATTTGTTTGTAGTAAAGTTGATAAATAGAACATGCTGATTGTAGATTTCTGCTGACTCAGCTGTACATTTGACCCAACTGGCTCTTTGTGACCAGAGAACTGACCAGCAGGGGTTTTGATGCTGCCTCTTACCCTGCAAAGTTAATTGGTTGTCAGTTTACCCTTGTTATAACATCATGCCCTAACCACTAGCTCAAGTTAACCAACCTAACATTCATTTTATTTTGTGGAAATGTAATTTTTGCCAGTAAAGGAGAAAAAGATAAATCTGTTGATTATATGTAACAAAGGGTAAGGTTCTTTGTTCAGTGTTCTTAAATAGCTGGTTTTAACCATAGGAATATCCAAATAATTACGTTAAATAAGAATATTCTAAATGTGGATTATATTTAGTGTGGATATTGAGCAAAGGAAGGAAAAATGATTGTGCTGTCCTTCTGGAAACAACTGTACTGTGTTTAAATTGTTTCTAATAAAAACATCTTTCAGATATATTACTGGCATTAAGAGTGACTAGGTATTGGGTTGCCTGGGTGGCTCAGTTGTTAAGCATCTGCCTTTGGCTCAGGTCATGATCCCAGGGCCCTGGGATTGAGCCCCGCATCCGGCTCCCTGCTCTGCGGGAAGCCTGCTTCTCCCTCTCCCACTCCCCCTGCTTGTGTTCCCTCTCTCACTGTGTTTCTCTCTGTCAAATAAATAAGTAAAATCTTAAAAAAAAAAAAAAAAGTGACTAGGTATTGCCTGTGTTAACACACACACACAAAATCTACAGGTACAGCAGTGTTGTAAGTAGTAGTTTTCCAGGTTACTAATGCAGCTAACGTGAAAAATTTAAAAATAATTTTTAGTAAAAATTTAGATGGTTTTCTTTTATTATTTCAACCTCTAGAAAGAGTGATAGTAAAAGTTTTTTTTTTCTCTAAAATGTGATGATAAAAAGTTACAACTAACATTTGCTGATATTTACCTGATTGATTTTATTTCTTCTCTGTAAAAAAGGCCTTGGTAATTGTTAAGGGTTTTTTATTTTTTTATTTTTTTTAATTTTTAATTTTTTTTTATTTTTTGTGTTTATGTTCAGTTAGAAGGGTTTTTTAAGATACGTGTAAGACCTGTGTTTCTTTTTTTCATTCATTAATATAAACGTTGATACATTTATTAATATAAACATTGATACCTAACCTAAGAAGTATCCAGAAATTTTAAACAGTATTTTGATTGACTTGGAATCTACCTTTTTACAAATAGAAGAATTTTATGATAACATGAATTGCTTTAATGTTTTGGTAGATGAAATAAATTTATAGTTGTTACTTTCTAGAGTAAATCTGAAAAACTAACTTTTTAAAGAAAATATTTTATTTATTTGTCAGAGAGAGAGAGCACAAGCAGGGGGAGCGGCAGGCAGAGGGAGAAGCAGGCTCCCTGCTGGGCAAGGAGCCCAGTGTTGGACTTGATCACAGGACCCTGGGATCATGACCTGAGCCAAAGGTAGATACTTAAACAACTGAGCCACCCAGGCATCCGAAAACTAACTTATACTTAGTTACATTTTTCCTTTTTTTAAAAGATTTATTTGAGAGAGAGAAAGACCATACATGTGCCAACACATCAGTGGGGCAGGGGCAGAGGGAGAGGGAGACAAGCAGACTCCTCCCTGAGTGGAGAGTCCCACTTGGGGCTTGATCCTAAGATTCTGAGATCATGACCTGAGCTGCAAATGAGAGTCGGACACTTGACTGACTGAGCCACTTAGGTGCCCCTACCTTTTTTCCCTTTGTTAGATAAAATAGTTACTGCTTTTTGTGAGTGATAATTCACATTAGATAAATAGTAAAATCGCCTTGTCCATGGTTTAGAGTGAGAGCGAAATCATTCAGTAACATGGATTTGCTCAGAAGAACAGAAATTCAAAATGTTTCTTAAGGGGAGCCTGGCTGCCTCAGTCTGTAAAGCATGCAACTCTTGATCTCAAGGTCATGAGTTAAAGCCCCATGTTGGGCATAGAACTTACTTAAAGATAATATAATAAAATATACTTTATAAAAATTTTTTCAAAAAATGTACCTTAAATTTTATCTGAAATATATATATTTTTGCTTTTGAATAATAGGAGAGATGTCATTAGTGGTTTCCCTTTTTTGTCTTTATCAACAAGGATACTCCCAGAATTCATTAAAAATTGCAGGAAGGAGCTAATAAGAATCATGGAGCTGGGGCGCCTGGGTGGCTCAGTTGGTTAAGTGACTGCCTTTGGCTCAGGTCATGATCCTGGAGCCCTGGGATGGAGCCCTGCATCGGGCTCCCTGCTCAGCAGGGAGTCTGCTTCTCCCTCTGACCCTCCCCCCTCTCATGCTCTCTCTCTCTCTCTCTCATTCTCTCTCAAATAAATAAATAAAATCTTTAAAAAAAAAATCATGGCGCTAATAGAATCATGGCTTGTTACCAGATTCATAAAAAAAGTCATTACTAAAACAATGTAAAGGTTTAAAATTCTTATTTAATAAAAACTATTTGAATACATCCTCACTGTTGAAAATTATTAGGAAAAATTATTAAGGAAGAAACTTAAAATTGCCCAGTCATTTTGAATATACATCTGGTATTTATACTTTTAAATATTTTTGTTATACACCACTATATATCAAAAATGGGTTCATGTTGTTTATTACCTCTATACCTTGCTTTAAAAAGAAACTTTATTA